ACCTATGCGGCAGTCATCTTTTAAGTCATTTAATGACAGTACGTGTTCTCACCACCAGTTTTCGTCTTTCACATTTTCATGCTCGAATTCGACTATTTACGCGTGATTTTCGAACTTTTGACCGAAAAAGTTATGGTACAGACTATATTTGTTGCAACTGAGGAAAAAAATATGCAGCAAGTGACAAGTTCATTGATCCCGTTTATTTCACTTTGCGTCTTAGTATATCAATAAGATTTATACGCCCCTGCAAGTAAATATTTTTTTTGAAAATGGCCTTTTTATGAAATAGACCTAGGTAAGTTGGGAAAAGTTTATAATAAAGCGAGCACTCCACGGTGTATTAATCACTTAATGATGATGTCACAGGATTCAACCCCTTAGCTATATCCACTTAAAATTTTATACTTGTAATTAATAATTGCAGTTAAATGTTCATAGAGTGTTTGTCTTAATGGCGGTTAATTTAAATCAACATCATCAGGGTCAAATCTGACCTGCTTTTAGATCCTTCATATCTATTCACTGATATACTTCACTGATCACTGACGGTAGCATGTTTTGGCTAATCCTTTGTATATTCTCTAAGTTAAGCGCATTATCAGACACCGAAAATATAAATAACCCCTCCAAAGCGCTGAAAGCAGGCATAATGACGTCTCTTTTTGTATGTCATGTAAATAGCTATGGGATTTTGCCCATCGTGGTCTCCAGGAATAGAAAATAGCCCGAATTGCCCAAAAGCTAAAAGAGTGGAGAATAGCATAGCTAACTCTTGTGTTCTTTCGATTTTTCTACTGTTACAATCAGTTTTCTGAACAAAATCACATGAACATGTTCGTCTGTACCCTCTGCAAATAGACAGATTCCATACAAGCGAGCCCCAACGGTGGATTCTTGCGTTTGCACGAATGATCCTATTTGTTGATTGTTTTGTCCACGTCTGCGTACGGATCAGATGGTAATGTTTTTGTCGAAATTAGCATAACGTGTATCTATTGTCAAAAATTTGAGGGGATATTCCTCATCTAACTGTGTACCAGTTATATTTATTATTATTTCGATGTAACTCCAGAGGATTTAGCAATGCATCTATTAATAATCCTAAGTGTCCGTGCAGTTAAAAGGAAAACATATATGAGTATAATTTTTCAAAATTTGCTAGCAAACCCTTCTCAACCTGAAAGGTTTTTTTCTTCTAGGCTATATCCCCAATAGCGAAATAAGAAAATGGCTGGACATCTGCCTCAAGAAGTATGAGTCGGTAAGTTAAATTAACTACGACAGTTTTTAACATAACCGAATCTTTCGCAATCTAACAGAAAACTTGTCTGATAAGTAGATGGCTTTAATCATCAGAAACAATGCTTCAATTCAATGAATGCATGCAACTGCCATTGTCTTTATATGATTAATATTTAATTAGAAAACGAATGATGACAGAAAAAAGCAGACCTAAAGTTAGTTTTATAGTCCACGTCGTTAACGGAGGTTAATGCCACAATGTGGATGCTTTTGAGGAAGATGCATGTCACTAAATTATAATTAAACATAGACAAAAAAACTACAGTAAACGCCACGGATCACGCAACATTTCGACATAGGCGAAAGGTTGATACTCTTTCGCTAATCGGTATTGACTCAGGTTGTGATACTGATTATCGTGAAGTCTATTCTGAAAATTATTCCATCACGATAGGATGCGGGCTTTTTAACGAGCTTTGTTCTGAATACCAGCAACAAGCACATATTTTAAAAACCGGCTACTTAAGTAGTATGCCTTTTATCATGGATTTGGACTGCCTTTATAAATTCAAATATATTTTATGGAAAAAATGCACGAAAAAATTATTTCTTGTACTTGTTTGATAGCAAATTTGCCTTCTTTAAATTTAATACTCAAAGCTACCCTTTATTTGAGTTTAAAATTTAAAGAAGGCGCATAAAAGGCATACTACTTAAGTAACCAGTTTTTAAAATATGTGCTTTTTGCTGGTATTCAGAACAAAGCTCGTTAAAAAGCCCGCATCCTATCATGATGGAATAATTTTCAGAATAGACTACACGATAATCAGTATCACAACCTGAGTCAATAGCGATTAGTGAAAGAGTATCAACCTCTCGCCTATGTCGAAATATTGCGTGATTCGTGGCGTCTACTATATAGATGCCGATTTTTTATTCTACATAAATCTGTCTTTGTTTAATTTCTGATAACTATCGGCTAATAATCCAGTCCAAAAAAATACGCAAAAAACTCCATTTGAGTAGACTATTATCAGTTGATAGCACGCATACGGTTTTGCAAAAAAAATTTAATATAGTTTTATGTTAAACTATAATACGGTTTAGCGAATTAAAGAGGGTGTTTCGTTACCGGTTTAGCCAGACATGACGGTGTGTTCGCATCTGCTTGGACTTGCGCCTCATCATCCTACCATTATACCGTGCTCAAACGGAACAAGTGAAGATGAAATCGCACGTTGAAATGGACTGAAAAAGCAGCATATCCTCACCTCCGGGGAAACAAATGAGGTTTATTGGGGAAAATTGGTTTCATCTTAGTTAATGAGTAGCTGTGTGTTCGGCAGGTTTCGGGCAAAACACAAAAATCACAATATTTATTGATAGGCATTCTTGGTAAGAATTGTTGGATGATACAAATCTCCACGGACATGACAAAATCAGATTGACGTTGCGATTCAGTATCACTAAATCTGGTTTCTTTGCATAGTCTGGCTTCCAATGCAGAAAGTTTAAATTGTTCCGCAAGTGCTTCAGAGATTTAACAAACTTACTGCTTAAAGCACATGATCAACAAAATTATGAGACACTAGAAACCGTTGTCGGTCTTCTGGTCGCCATGAATCCGTGTTGTTCCAATCCCGAATGCCGTAACACCCAAAGTTTGAACCGGAGTCGAATAGGTCTTTGAACGGCCCGTAGCCGCTTGAATCCCTAAACTCACATTTTCTCGGCAGAAATCGACGATATGAAAAAAATAGAATTGTCTTCCTATTTTAATTATGCTTCGCAACTTCGACCTAAGATTCCAAACAAGGAGTCGCGCGATGATTAACAATTAATAATCGAGAGTTATTGCTAAAATGACTAAAACATTTTATTTGAAACGTCCGATCTTTTAGCTAACCCAGCCCATGTTATCTCAGTCTCCATATAGAATGGAGCAATTTTGCCATATATCTAAGCCTCAGAGCCTGTCGTTTTTTTATTACACCTGAATCTGAATAGAGCCTAATTTAGTTACTACATAATGAAAGCATCGACCAAGATCGGATCTATGACCCCCCATCAGAGGACGAGAGGTAATAACTTTTTAATGCAGTATTAATGGTAAAATATGTTGTATGAACGAGATCAATAGGTGGAGAGATATAATTTTTTGGAAGGCAAAATTTTTAAAGATAACCTTTACGTAATTAGCCTATTAAAATATGCCGATAAAGCGCAACGATCCGAGCGCCCAATTTGAAATACTGGAACCTGGGATCTGCGGTACGCGCCAGAACTCGTGCAAGGTATGCGAAAGAAATACATTCTATAGACAACATGCACCAAAAAGTATTTAAAGTTAATGAATGAACACCTCACATTTTTAAAAAAGCTCATAATTAGAAATTTATCTTAAACAGAAAGACAACCATTCTTTACATATAAAATGTAAAGAAGGCGTAATTTGTTACCAAACGTTACAATAAATAATTTTGCGTGCATGCTGTCTATAAAAGTGCATACTATTTAAGTAGTTTGTTTTTGCAGTACACACGTTTTCTTAGTGATCATAACGAAGCTCGTTAAAAAGCCCGTATCTTATCATGACTGAAATAAGTTCAGATTAGGGTACACGATAATCAGTATCACAAACTGAGTCAATTCCGATTGGCGAAAGAGTATGATTCTTTCGCATATGTTGCACGAATTCTGGCGCGTACTGTATAAACACGGAACCAATGAAAACTAAGGATACTAGTTAGTTACTTCGAACGAAATTTTTCCAGCCTGTGGTTACCAGTCAACTTGAAGGAGAATGTAGGTAAACTAGGATAAAGTAAATAGAGTGAGTAAAAGATGGTTTTAAATGCAATCCGTAAGATGGATAATTTTATTTGGCAACACTGGTAGTCTTATCCCTAATCCTATATTCAAAGGCCAGTCATGACTCTAAACCCAACAGCAAATCCTTAATTCATCCTCTATTCTTTACCCTTATAGTCCTAGCTCAAGCACTTACCTATATCCTTAACCTTAACGCGAAGTCAACCGCTTATCCTAATATTAACGCTGAAGGATGTGACAGGGATCAGCGAAAAGCAATACGCATTAAATTTAGCCTATCCAAATAATATAAGTTGGCACTTCTTAAGGGTAAATATTAGGTAGAGTTAAATATTTGATGGGTATTAATTAATCGGATGGATGCGTCACCCAAAATCCCCAAGTATCGAAATCATAATCATGTAAAAATCAAATTAGAACGCTAAGCAATAGCATAAAGTAAATAAAAATGACATACGACTTGAAGCAACAAATATTTGTCCAGGCAGGAGTGGAACTAAAGCTCCAGCAAATAGCCTGTACTTCAAATGAGACAACATTTCTTGAGAAGTGACACATTTTGCCATCATTCTCAGTATTTTATTGTGCGTTCCCCTTTTTGGCTGGGAAAAATTATAACATGCAGGCGACCTTTATGATTATTTCAGCAGTATATATTTCTTACGTTACATTTTGATTTACATAAATGTGACTAAAAAGCTCCACAATTAATATAAAACTTTGTATTTCAAAAAATTTCTGAGATCGACTACAACCTCCAGGCCAAGCTGAAGTAACTCTGAGCATGTAGTTATCCTCGACAGTTACACGGCCAATCTGAAATCAGCATTCATTGAGATCTGTTTTTCGTATGGGCGATGGATGCTTTTTTCGTTTTCACCAGTATTTGGTTTTTTGCATTAATTCACTTCTTATGCATATTTATGGTAAATTGGGCTACGGTTTGCTTTGCCACCCCCGAAGTCTAGATCTACACTCCTTTCTTGTAGCTCTTGTCAGAGAAAACAGTCACAATATCTCCTAACACGGCTGCTCTGGAACAACTGGCACGAAGATATCACGTGAGTGAATGTAGTTAATATGAGGACATCGATAGTGATGATAATAATAATACCTGCCCCCTCCTCTTTACTTTCCACTTCAGAGGGTAGGGAGAAAATAACTTATTTTGAAGTATAAACATAAGATAATCTCACAGGGGACTTGCTGGTTTCTCTGAATGTCTGGCGGACAATTCTGTGAAAATGTAGGCACATTTATGGGCGCATTTATATTGCGCGTGGCGACGACGGCGACCTGGGGAACCAGCGTAAAATAAAGTCCCTTTCCCAACGAACATATTCGACTTCATCTTCCACTTCCACTCCACTTCCACTTCCTTCCAGTAATAGTGGTAGCAAAGGTACCACTAAGAAGAACATATTATTTGAACCTCTATCAAAGACGTAGATTCTGATACTCAATTAATCATCTGGTCAGCTGTTCATCAATGCGTTGCATGGTTCCAATTACTAACAATGAAAAAATGCGCACTTAAAACCGGATATCATGATATTTCTTAAAATTGAAGGAAATACAAGTAAACGCCATCACCTCTCTGCACTGAGCGATAGTAAGCCTAAATATCCAACGATCACATTTTCACGTTTGGTTACATGAACTTTATATAGGACATTACGTGGCATTTTATTCAAAAAAGTTGCGAGAGTTCCGAGTAACGATAATAGAAAGTTAACTGACTAGAAGGATTGACCTCGGAAATAAAAATCACAGTGATATAAATTTTCCTATAAAGGCATGTTTACACGTCCAGCGCAAAAGGTTACTCTAAAAATGGTCTTACTAAAGTTATTTGGGCTACTCGAGCTTTAAAAAATATAATCAAAGCAGGGAAATGGACTGAATTTTTCAAAGGGATTGTTTCTTCGTTTCCTCAACTTTGAACTTTTCCCATTACTTCATCATGCACTGCTAGTCCCTTAAAACCTATGTACTTTGAATGTACATCATAGAAACTGCTGATGGTGCTCGTGAAGCAAGCACCACGTTACCCAGCAAGCACCCCAAGTTGACGATCAGGACATTAATGTGATTATACATGGAGACTAATTTACGGACCAAAATCTAACAGACAGAAGGCCAGTTGGTGATTAACTGCAGTAGATACTGTCCTAGTTACTATTATAATTGTTTAAGTTATTGAATAAGAGCTCTTATTTCACTGTGTCTTCGGCAAATTCGACCAGTGCGTTCTGATCGGGACTTCTATTTATTCAGGCCATGGCTCACCGAAAGGCAATTGGATGGGTGTGGCAGATTGCATGTTAGGTTCACTAGTTACATTAAGTGTCTACTGGAGCACGCGAAAAACCCATCCTACTGTAATACGGGACAAGTGGTAGTAAGGGCAAAATGGGTGGAGGATACCAGAGAAAAGAAGAAACCAATTAAAAAACGAAGCGTACAAAATAGTAAATAGCAAGTCCAATTATTTGACTAACCACATATTTGCGCGCGATAATTAAAATGACAAATGCGACCAATAGGAAAGACGGTTCAACGGTGCCCAAATGGACACAATCATCGACTCTACATCAACTCTATATCAATTCTATAATACGATATAGTGTTCATTTAGAGATGATATATATTTGATATAGAGGTAGCTTCTAAGCCAGAAAGAAACTGTATGTCGCCAAAAGGGGAAACCGAAATGAAGTAAAACTAAACTAAATAAAAATGAACTAAACGTAAACAAAAACTGCACTCAAGCTAAGGCCATAATTCGTAAAATAGTGCCTACTGCTACGAATTGAGTAGAGAGCTATGCGAAACAATGCTGCAGTGGACCCTAAATGTAACTGCCACCGTATATTAAATGCATGCCTCAAAATGTTATTTTACATTCCACGAGTATAATGTTTCTTCATTGTTTTGAACGCCCCTTTAAGCTGTACGGTTGACCAGTTCGTAGGATTGCTAAACAATAATGTATAAGCGGTGGTGCTGCGCGATCTGCGACTTTCTAGTTTTCGAACCCGAGACAGAGTAAAGTTCGCTGATTGCTCTGTCTAACGACGGTTGACTATCCCCCAACCGTGGTGTACAGCATGCCCCGCAGGCGCATTACCAAAAGTACATCGTTTTTTTAGAATTTCTGCAGTACCGCGACGTTAGTGGTTGGAAAGGCCGTTGAATGCTTTTTTCCTGAATGTATGGTCTCACATAAACCTTGGCCGAGTCTGCCTCTCAATATAGAACTTATTGAAAAAAATGCTTTGATGAATTCAATTGGTCTATTTGGTTGTGGGTAAGACCACCAAGTAAAGCGCACTAGTGTTGACAGACCCATCACCTGGTTTTCATAACTGTTTTTGTGATAGGAGGTCTTTTTAAAAGCCTATCTGACTTACTTGCATAGCCAGAAGAGGGTTCTGAAGAACCATTTGAAATCTCTGCGAAGCTGAGCAAGTACATCAGTCAACGCAAAAAGGGTTTTGCTCTGCGTAACGCAAAACAAGACCTCATGAAGGCCATCATACCAACAACTACGGGCAAGAGTGATGTCGCTGACGTTGACAAGGCCGCTGCGGCAGATGAGTGCGCTGAGGTCTTTGAGGATGAGGCGGACCGTGTTGTAAAGGACGAGGATGCAATCCGATTGAGGAAGTTTGCGAGAGAGGTAACCAAGAAGGCAGTCATGGAAAAAATGCGTGAGAAGGGTAAGTGGCATACAGATCAAAAGTTTAATTAATACTGACCTCGCTAAAAAAATACTGCAACCGGTTTGTTAAGCAGGGTCCCTTAGTAAGGGTAGACGGAGAAGCATGGCGGTAGGATAAAAAATGACTTTTAAAATACGAATCGTGCCTAAAGGAATTTTAAAACTTAGTATTAGAGCCGCGCATCCTTACCTAAAACTGTCAACCACTTTGAAAGATACTTCCATTTAAATCTGATTAAGCAGTTTAACTGCTCACATCAGGTGCCCCTTGCGGTTATTTCAAAGTAAAAATTCATACAACTTCGGAATCTGTTATATATTTACGTCTGCGTCAGTTTCTTGCTCCTTGTTACTTGTTCCTTAATGTAAACACGTAGTTTAATCATAAACAAACTTGTAAGGTAGAAGATTAGAAACCAACCCATGATCTCTCAAATTCCTAACAGTTAGTCTTTATTTCGTGGATAACACCTGGATCGGTCAACTGAATCCTAAAATTTATAGGAACCCTGTTGTCCACATTATAAAACTTTTATCAGAGAATTGGAACCAATATGAAAGATGAGGAATCAATGGCCCATCAGCTAATAGGTTAGAATTACACCTAATTATGTCGACTGAGTTCTGGTATTCGTAAACCTACGAAACAGGAGGTACAAGTGAAACTAATACTGGACGTGCTTACTTTTTAGTAATTGAATTCGCACCTATGCTAATGGATTGTATTTAGTGTTGTATAAGAAAAAACATTCAGTGTTTCTGTCCTTCTCCTAATTGTCTAGACTTTGATACTCGTTGATGAACTTATAGGTGTTAAGGCTAAGATGGTTAACCCTAGCAGCTACAATCTTCCAGGCCCGGTTCTTTAGGAGATAGGAGAGAGAGAGACGGTGGGAAAGCCAGAATAGGAGGAACAAGATATTGTCTATAGACGTATTGGGAGGAAGTTGCTACTCGGTCCGGCCGTGATGGCGCGTGAGCGCGGCACCCTTAGGTGACGGAATCTCAAGTCTTC